ATATTCTAAAAAGCCTCTGTCAATCAGACAACTCAGCTTGGATCATCACAGGCATTTAACAGAAAAAAAGCCTCCGATGATCGCACGGCTCAGCTGGGCATGTGGGGGGGCAGGGATTTTTGCTACCGGTTCTCCGAACCACCCGCCTCCATCGCTATTGGATTGGGCGATCCGGTCTGAACCGGGAGCATTTCACCCCTGCTTTTAACTGTGTAAAGTTCTGGCAGGAAGACAAAAGGAAAATGAATTGATGTGGTGGTGGAATTCTAGTTGGAAAGCAAGATATCAGGAGAGAGGAACATAGACAGGCCCATGTGCTTTCTGGTTTGCTGTGTAATCAAGACAAATGGCAAAGCAAAAAGTTGAAAAGAGAAAAGGCCAAGAACAGCATTTATTTGCAGTAGCGAAATGGACTGCAGTGAAAGGAAAAAACTGCCAAGTGGAGGAAAGAAATCCCGGGTTCTTCTTTTAGGCCAAGGAAAGGCCTATGGCACCACCTGGTGTCAAAAATCCAGTAATTGCAAAAGACAGTGGCTTAATACAGGAAAGGAGTGGTGGGGCAGCAGCAACCTGGATTTCTTTTTTCAAAGCTGTTTAATTTATTTCAATGGTTTTCCTTTCCTCAAAGGCATTGGAAAATATCTTCATCGACACTGTATTTTGGCCTGCAGTTCCCATATTTTCTGATCGTTAATGTACTACACAAAGGCCTTGCTTGTGCTTTGCGTGGCTTGATCTAAATCAGGGGTGTCAAACTTGATTTCATTGAGGGTCACATCAGGGTTGTATTTGATCTCGGGGGGTGGGGCCATCTTGACATCACTCGCCCCTGAGCTCCGTTTTTGCTGGCAGAGGGCTGCAGGAGGCCATCCAGATCGAAAATGGGGCCTCTATTTTCACTGGCAGAGACACTGCAGGCCAGTCCTTTGCTGTTTCAAGGACAGCCCGCAGGCCAGATCTAAGCACCCCATGGGCCGGATCTGGCTCGCAGGCGTTGAGTTTGATACACCTATTTAAGAGGAAAAGGAGCTAAAATGCTCTTATCAAAGGCATCCAGGTTTTTCTCCAGGACTATACGTAATATTTATATAACACATCTCCGCTGTTAAAATGTAGTGGAAGGGAACCAAGTAAAAAATTAAATTATTTATCAGGTAGTTCTCAACCTATGACTACAATCAGGACTGGAACTTCTGTCGTTTAAGCAAGATGGTTGTTCCAATTTTACAACCATTTTTGCTATGATTATTAAGTAAACCACATAGCCATTAGGTGAATCCAGCTTCCCATTGACTTTGCTTGTTGGAAGCTGTCTGGAAAGATCACCAATGATGACCATGTAACCAGTGGTGGGTTGCCCCCGGTTCGGACCTGTTCGCAAGAACCAGTAGTAAAACCGGTGGGAGGCTCCGCCCACTGATCTGGACGCCATCAAAGTTGATCTGCGCATGCGCAGAAGAGTGTGCACACGTACGGACATGATACGAACCGGTAGTAAAGGTAAGAAGAACCCACCCCTGCACATAACCCCAGAACACTGTAACCATTGTAAATACATGCTAGTTACCAAGCACCCAAATTTTAATTATGTAGCTGATGGGACACTCTGATGGTCTACAAAGAATGGTCATAAGTCACTTTTTAATACCTTTGTGATGCTGAACAGTCATGAAATAAATTGCTGTAATTCAAGGACTACCTATAAATATTTCGACATAATTAGAATTAAACATGGTCATCATGATTATTCTCCAGGTGTGTTCACTAATTTTCTTCTATATTGCAACATTAAAATCAGGTAACATTTTCTGAAAGTCTAGGCTCCAGATTTTTGAATGGAAAATTGCATGCAGACCCCTGGAGCCATAGGAAAAGCACCTTTAGTCTGCTGATTGTCACTTAAATACCAAGTAGCTTTTCGTAAGATATGTTGTGTCCTCCTCTAGCCAAGCTGGAAATCCTCTTACGCTGGAAGAAGTTGCCATCAAGTGGATAGTTTGGAAACTGCACTAGATTTACTGAGACCTAAGTAACGAATCACTCGAAAGACATTAGGGACGTAACAGCAGCTGGGATTTCTTCCTAGCATCACCAACTGTTGTACTGTTCTTTAATCTGTTCTAAACCAAATGTGTATAGAAATGCTTGACAATGTAACATCAGTAATGTGCATCAGTGCATTCACAGAAATTTCCATGGTGCCACCAGTCTCTTATTCCACTGGAATTCATTAAGTATTAATTTAAAGGGGAAAAAGAAAGACTAGACATGATCAGGATGCAAATCTGCTGAAAGTCGCCTGAACCCTGAGATGAGTAGCAAATAAAACTGATAAATAAATAAAACAAAGGTCCTGCGACAAGCATTTTATTTCCATGCCTCTCAACCGACAAAATCCACATGCAATATAAAAATGCTGGATGGCTGTGGTCTGGTGCTTTGCTTCCCTGACAAGAAAAAGAGGAAGGAGGCAGAGAACATCCCGAGAGCCAGTTTGGTATGGTGGTTAAGGTATCAAGACTAGAAACAGGGAGACAGCAAGTTCTAGTTTCATTTTAGGCATAAAAGCTGCTGGGTGACAGTGGGCCAGTCACTCTCTCTGTCCTAGGAAGCAGGCAGTGGCAAACTACTTCTGAAAATCTTGCTAAGAAAACTGCAGGGAAAAATTCTAGGCAGTTCTCAGGAGTCAAAAACCAATTTGAAGGCATAGCATAGAGAGCAAATATCCTGAGCGGTTACGTTAAATGGATATTCTGTGCCCAGCAGCTATTCTTTGAGTGAGCTCTCTAACCTATGGAAGTTCTGTCTTGGAGCACCCAAGACATACATCAAAATTTCAAACATGCTGCAAACTCTCAAAACTGACAATGCGTGAAGAGGAATTCTTTAAATCGTGCCATTTTCCATATCCTTCTTAAGGTTATACTCCAATGCACACTTACCAGGCAGAAGTTTAGGGAGTACAATGTATCTCAAGAAATCTATTCAAGATGATACAATTTTTTTTCCTTCTCATAAACTGTCACAAATACTCACTCTGCCCGTACCCTCTTTTCACAGTCTTCTTTCACATTGCTTAGGAATTGCTTAAATCCAGGCTTTAATGGGGCAAGACGACTAAAACTTCTTAAGTGAAAAGCAATCTGAATAGCCTTTAAGAAATAATAGAACATCCACCTAAACTTGAAATCTTTGGTTTTCAGATGCTAGCGGCATTTTAACTTGTGCATTCTCAGTATAGCACAATTCAGCAGACTGGATGCATTCCAGACCCCCTCAATTAAACAGTGCCATTTTTGGAGACCCGGTGACATTTGCCCCCTAAATAAATCCTTCCCCCCAAGATCCATATCTCATCCAGATTACTTGCAGAAAACTTGAAGAGGTATTTATCCAGGCCTTGGGATAGGCTTACTCAGACTCCCGTTTCTGATATTTTATGATTGCTTTGTTCTTGGATTGCTGTCTTGTGATTATTTTACAATTATTTTCTTACTTATGATTGATCTTTTGAATTCTGTTTTCATGTCATTTATTGTTTAGAGCTGCCTAGAATCGGTTTGGATTGAATGGCATGATAAATAAGTTTATTAATGCAGCAGATAACTTATTATGAATGCACCCTTTCTTACAAAGACCTACAAAAACATAGATGCAATTTCATTTGCTTAGGAATAAAGAGAACAATAACATTTACTGTGTCACAATTCAGTCTATGGCAAGAAAAGTAATTGAAAGAGCTGCAACATACAATCCATGTCAAGCAGACTAAATTTTTGTTTTGAAAGGAGTTGTGACACAATCACCCCAGTGGTGGGTTCCAACAGGCGTTACCACCGGTTCTCTTTGTGCACGCGCTTTGTTTGCATGCATGCCAAACTTGCGCTCTGCGCAAGTGCATTACGTTTCTGCCGGTGCGGCAATCCACTCTGCCACGCCTATCAGCTGGGCTAAAAAAACAGAATTAAAGGTAGGAATAAAGCAAGGGCAGGCGGGAGGGCCCAGCTCCCACTCAAGAGAGAACCGGTTCGGTGATGTCACATCGTCACCACTACCAGCTCTGCCGAACCGGGAGCAACCCATCACTGAATCACCCCAAATGTTGAGACATTTCAATCTTGTCTCTCTTTCCTTCCATGAACTGCACTAGGTCTCACTGCTTTGCTTGGAGTTTCTCAACCGGGGTCACAAGGAACCATGAGAGGATTCCATGAGAGATCACTAGGGCTTCCCTGGGATTTATTTTTTATAAGCAGAGATAAAAACTATAACTTCCAACACTGGGTTGTGGGTGGGCCTGCCAAAGTTTGCACAGATCCTGGGTGGGATTGTGGAGGAGAGGATAGAAACAGGAAGTCATGAAAAAAGCATGCAAGAGATGCTACTGCGGTCACCCTCTGAGTTTCCAGTGTGCACATGCAAGTAGTCTGGGAAGCTTCATTTCAGGGAGATCAGAGGAGACCTGGCCTGGGCACCAGTGGCAGCAACAGGAGCCACCCACAAAGAAAAAGGTGGGGGGGGATAAATGGTTGTGGTGGTGAAGGCTTTGGAATCAAGGTTTCAGGCAAGATTTCAGGAAAGACTGAGGAATCCAAACATTATTATTAAGGGGAGAGGTACTGGGAGGTTGCAAGCCAGATCACCCCCTCTCTCTAGTTTTGCAATGGGGTCCTTGAGAGAGGAGGTGGGAAGTGAGGAGGAGAAGCTGGATTTAGGGAACGAGGTGCATGAAACAAAATATAGTAACATTGTTAACTTCTTCCCTATATTTGAACTTGAATGTGCAGGGGTTCCCCAAGGTGTGAAAAATATTTCAAGGGTTCTTCCAGGTACAAAAGGCTTTGTGTGATGTGGGCTCCCCCAGTGTAATCTAAGGAGTAATTTCCTAAGAGCATTATTTTGAGAACTTAAAATACCTTCTTCTAATACAAAATAAAGGCAAAGATTTATGCTTTCTTCTAAAGTTTCCTTGAACAGGCCAGCAAATTCCACACAAGGCAGAATGTCACAGTCAGTTTTATTGAATATTTGTGGATTGTCTCCCCTCTAATAAATGACAAATATCACAACACATTTAAAAAAAATACATATGCATCAAACAAGTTATTCCATTTCCTTTCGTTATTAAGTATCTCCTGGCTGTTTTACCCCTTTTCTTATATAACAATCATTATGATCTCAGTTTGTAACCACAGCAATGCAGGCTTCAAGAACAAGGAGCACACCATCTCTTCTACCACCAAAACCTCACATACAGAATATCTAAGCCATGGGCTCCCATATTAAATTTGTTCCTATCGTATTTCTTGGGGAGGGAAGGGTTTGAGCTCACATCCTTGTTCATAATTATTTTAATTTTAATTACAGGTTATTACTTGGAATACTGCAATACAACCACCTCCAATTTTGCATCCTCCACTGGGTTGTGGCTTCCATTATCCTCTGTGCAAACAAGAATAATGAGAGTTGCAGATACAGAGGGTTGCAGGTTTTGTTGTTTTTAGTCAAGAAATTTGTAAACATTCTCCCCCCCCCTCCCGTTTCTGGTGAGGAACAGCAAACCGACATTCCACAGACAGCAGGAAACATTATGGCCAAAAGGCAGCTGGATGCAGAGTCTGGATTGCTGAAAATTCTCTCCCAAACAAGGAGACATTTTGAGATTACCCAGATATATTCTAGATAGCTGAAGATTTTTGTAAGTAGATGGCAAGGAGTGATATTTTTGGAGCCTCATGTAGTTTGTAATACTTGTTATTTCTGGTAACTCTTACTAGACTTTGGATTAATATGGAGAAATGAGGTTTAAGAGATGGGCTTATAGAGAATGGAACGAGGAATGGAATGAGATTAATGTTCAGATGTATTTTAAGAGATAAAGTTGTCAATGTTGATTATACCTGCCAGAGATGAAGGGGGAGATTCCTTTTTCTGCACTTTGTAATTTTTTTATTTTTTTTAATATATTTCCATACTATGTATTTGCATTAGTTTTATCAATAATATCTTTAGTAAAAATTATTGGGGGGGGGAGGAAGAGAAGTTTGGAAGCAACTTTTTAAAGTAACAGTGAAGCTATTGTTTCCTTAAGAACAATGAAGCCAATCCTATGCCCAACTGAAGCTGCTAATCCAGCCAGTCTGATACTATCCACCTAAACAAGCTGTGGCTCTTCCTGATCACTAATATTGCCTCTTTTTAACAGGAGATACCAGGGTTGAAGTGGATCAGAGACGTTTGGCATGCAAAGTGTATGCTCCACTACTAACTTAAGGCTGTAACTCTGGGCTGGAAGAGGCAGGCTTGGCATCCTCAAAGACAAGAGAGGATGGCAAGAAACAAGGCAGTGGAAGCAGGTAAGGGGTTGGCAGTGGTTCTGTTCTTGTGCCAGAGCTCAGAGTGCCTGGAAATTTGTGCCAGAAACTCTGATTTCCAATAAACCCAAAGATTTTGCAGCTAAATTAAAATTTCTGTAGGTTTTTTTAAAATCTGTCTACATTATTGAGTTTGTCATTTTTAGAATATTTTTCCGTGAGCCGTGCTCTAAATCTGTGCTTTGATCAGCAACTGCACCAATATGGCTATAAGAAATATGGGTACTGACACATGATTGTGGGGAAAATGCTTGGAAGAAAAAGGCAAACTTTTTAAAAATTCAATCCCAACACCTGTTCTTCAAGGAACATCAGTCAATGTTACTTTTCCTGTCCCTTTTAGTGTTCACAGTAATACAGGGAAGTTGGTTTTGCTGAGAGATGAGAAGCAGCCCACCATCATCTAGAGACTGAACTTCCAGGATGACTGGGGATCTGAACTGGGTTCCCATGATATTGTCATTTGGCCATTGCAAAGGGGCTGGAAATGAGAAGTAAAACAGGGAGCAGAATTACACCCATGTATCTCTCACGTTTCAAAACAATGAAACCCTCCTCTCCCTGGGTCTTAATTCCATTTAACGGAATAAATAAATAAATAAATGTATTGCAACCTATTTCAATCTGTTGCTGGAATACAATTTCATAATCTCTAGACAATGATCTTTTAAGAGTGATTTTTTTAAAAAAAACCATTCCGGAAAGCATAGTCAGAAAAATTTATTCTGAAAAATTTCAGGTTAGTGCTATCTTGTAGAAAATAAGATGGGGGGGAGGGAGAGGATAGTGAGAGAGATTTCAAATGTAACTGCACAGAATTCTATACAACACAGCTCTCACACAAGGCTATGAATATCTGTGTTGCCAGAGTAAATTAAATTACTCAAATCAGTTTATTTAGGCTAATTTGTTTCACTTACCAAATCCAGCATTTCAAAAACTATCATTACTATTGGCAAAGACCTCCGGCCAAGAGGCAGCAGGTTGCTAATACCCCTTACTGAAACTCAGCAGGAAACCAGTTGTTTTCATTGTCAATGCAGCCTAGCACAGCCAAAATCATATCGACTGTATTGGAACAGAGATTATGATCCCGGTGACTTTGTAGACAACCAAGAGGGCAAAAGGACAGATTAAACGAAATGGGGGGGGGGGGGGAGAGAGAGAATATGCTTCTAACACAGAAGCTGTACACCCGCCTATGTCAACAATATATACAAAATATTACTATATGAACTGCTTGTTCTTAGATGGCTTTTTCATTGCTTGTATACGTGCCTATGTATATGTGCATGTCTCAGTATTGTGTAATGCATGTTTTATATCGGCATTCAAGTCAAACACAGCTAAACAGAAGGATAATTTGATGACAAGAAATTGTGCTTCTTTTTTTTTTTTTACTAAACATTTACTTTCCTACCTTGTGATAACCCAAGGGGCCTTACTTTAACAACTAGCATAAGCAAAAGACAAATGTGCTGGTGGTGTGCATGCATGTGTATACAAACACTCCCACACATACATTTGACAGCCAGGGTGCCTCTTTGCAGACATTCTTGACACTGATCCTGGCTAGTCAATTTATTGCTTATGACCTATTCTAGATCTTGTTCCGGATAATGGAAATACCTAGCATCAGCACTAAGAGGAAACCATATAGCTCTCTTTAAATGCTGAAAGATATGATGCAGAGAAAGCAGCTCTTGCTCTAGAACAATATCTCTCAACTTTGGCAATTTTGATACATGTGGACAAATGGGGAATTCTGGGAATTGAAGTCTACACACATTAAAGTTGCCAAAGCTGACAGAACGCTGCTCTAAAAGGCAGGAATTAAAGCAAGAGGTATCAAGGCCAAGGAAGAAGATTGCAGCAAAACATTACAACAAACCTTTCTAGTGGCTAACTGTTGGATGGTGAATTAACTTCTCTCAGAAGAAAGTGGGATTTCCTTTGCGGAAGGTATTAAGTAGTCTGGAAGGCCAGCTATCCGAAAGAGCCGCCACTGCACATTCCTGGCACTGAATCTGCATGTATGCATGTGCACCTGCATGTTTATGTGCAGACTAGATGACCTAAATCATTTGTTTTATTTTTAAATTTTACCATTCTTAAAATTGTGGAATACGATTGGAACTGAATGGCAAAATCTGGCTCAGCAAAATAGAGCTACCTGCTCTAGGACTCTCCAGGATTCAGCGCTGGAGAAATTAACCTAGCACTGCCCTGGTACCTGAGGTCTATAGTTTTAGAATGTGGGTTATCTATATAAACTTTCTGGGGAAATCGAAAGAACCCTGATGCTCCCTGCAAATAAATCAAATGGACTAGAACCTAATCCCACACCTTTGACCCGGGTTGCCATCCATGTAAAGGACAGCCCTTACCTCCAAACATGTGAAGAAAAAAACCCTCTATTAAATCTACAAGGGGGGGGGGGATGAAGGAAGGAATGGCTGGCTAAGCAAATGAGGACAATAGCAAAATCATATCCTGTGAAATTTAAGACAGTTATAGTCATGATACAAAATGTTTTGAAACCAAGCCCTTCAGCTTTCTTCCTCTCTCTCACACAGACATAAACTATATTCAACAAATTCCAAAATAAAGATATGTGAGCTGGTGCCTGGCTGGACAAGGTGGGGGTCCACACCAAGGGTGCCACAATCCTGCAGTAGTTTTCTGGTACTACTCGAAACCACCCCACCCAGTCTTTGTGAAAGCAACTTGAGCTTTCTCCTGCCTCACTTGTGCAGCCTGGCAGCCAGTGCCCTCAACCCAAAGCAATTAACAGTGTTTGGCAAGAAGTGCAGAGAGGCCACAGGCTAAGCAGTGGCTATGCTTTCTTCAGCTTGCCCTCCATCACCAGCTTCTCATTCAGCTGGCAGAGCTGCTTCAAGAAGCCATCATTGGGGCCAATCTCCCGCTTCTGCCGGACGGCACTGACGGCGCTTTTGACATCCATGTTCTGCCGAAGCATGAGGTAAGCGATGACGAGGGTGGGTGAGCGGCTGTAGCCTTCACGGCAGTGGACAAACACTCTACCTAGTTGGCAAAAAAAGAACAGAGAGCTAAGTGGGAGCACAATGTTATGCCAAAGATAACTGGGCTTCGTAATAGGGCTAGGCATACAATAGAAACTTTAGGGTAAAGATGTGTGGATGTGGGTTAGTGGGAAGGCTGGAGTGGGAGGGGGGAAGCAAATACTTTTAAGGATTTTAAGAGGAGAAGCAGTATCAAAGAGGAATGTACTATTCTCTCTTGCCTGCTATCACTCCATTTTAAAGTGGTATTTCTACAGGAACACAAATAGACTTTCCCCTGTTTTCAACAACCTTCCCCGACCTATATATATATATGGTTGTAATAGCCAATATGGATATACACATTCTTAGTGTAGTTCTTAACATTTATGTATTGTTCTTTTCTTTGATTGTTTTAGGCTTTACTGGGGGAGAACCAGAAAGCAAAACCCATATCTCACTGACACAGAAAACACCACCACTATCGCACTAACCTAAACTTGTTTTTCCTTTTGAGAAAAATGTAAAAGTCTTGACCAGTGTACTATCTTCCACCTGTGCTGAATCCTAATTGCCAACATATTCATCCATCATGGCCAACAGCCTGGTAGTTGAGGATGATGGGAATTGTGGGCCAAATATGAAATGTGTTCCAATACTGTAAGAAAGGGCAGTTTTTATTTGTCCAGATAGTCCACCTGGATTTTCTTTTTAACAAATTGAAATATAAAAAAGGAGAAGGAAGGTGGAGGGTAGGTGTCAGAAAGAAAATAAACATGAAACATTCTCAGAGGTAAGAGAAAGAAGTAATAAGTGTACAACACATGAACCAGAAATAAACACATTTTGGGACAGAAAAGAATTCCCTTCCCCCCCCCCCACCTTTACCATTTCCTATAATGAAACCCCTTTTGTGTCTGTTTTGAACACATAGCAATTTCGTTTGTCTTTCCAGATTACTGGACATTATTTGACCACCCAACATTTCAGAAATCCCATTTAGTTGCCATCTCTTGTTTTAGCTTTAATTCTCAGATTAAAGCACTACAAATTCCCGAAGGTGCATGGAAAGGACTTCCATTTCATGCAAGGATGCATTTCTAGATACCAAATTCCCTTCTTTCCATCTAAACTGATCAGGGACAGGCCCTTGCAATTTTCTGAGTCAGTTCCCTTTGGTACTTTCGCTTCTTGTAAAAAAAAAAAACACCTCTGTTCTCTCCTAACTCTGCCAAAATAGAAAATGGAAAAATGCCATTTTGCTCCTTTCAGCTACCCCACAGCAAATATTAGAGACATAAACCTGGCACAGTCAGCCAATTCCTTTCATTTCTATAAGCCTTCTCTTTTTTCTCTTCTGGCTCTCAGGTTCAAAACAAAAGCCCAAAACCAGGGTGGATTTGATTTAAATCAAGTTGATTTAAATCACAATTTAAATCATGATTTAAATCACTAGTAAAAAGGCTTGATTTAAATCAACTCAATTTAAATCATAATTTTTAAAGAGCAATTGTCATCTCTGCTACTCCTTTGACCTACTGTTGACTCACCGATAGTCCCAGTGTTGCACAATATACAGCCTCATGCTACATAACTAAGCTCCATTTCATGCTGAATAAACTAAATTATTTATGTATCTTAAATAGAAAACTATCTTACGATAGATTTTTACCCCAAAAGTTTTTTATTAAAATAAATTCGATAAAAATTTAAAAAAATCTGATTTAAATAAAAAAAAATCCGATTTAAATTAAAAAAATCTGATTTTTTTTATTTTTTAAAAAAAATCATTGATTTTTATCCACCCTGCCCAAAACAAAAACCCTTTCATGTAGATAGATCACTTTAATGGCCAAGTAGATATTTATTAGTGTGTGTGTGTATGAGTAAGCATATATGCAACACACTGAGAGTGGTGAACGGATTGTGTGTATGTGTATATGTACATAGTCATGCATGCTTTGGTCCCATACACTACTACCATATAGGCAAGTAGATTTACCAAAAGAAAATCAACCCAATGTAGGCCCAATAACTGCCTCAGGGAGCTGGATCTTACTCATCCACCAAACAGCAGATTCAATTCCTTGGCTAATCAGAGAGTAAGAGTCAGGTGGCACCAGGTGAGATGGTATTGCACTATTATTCAAGTGTTATCTGTGTGATGCAATGTTCAGAGAAGCCCACATAACTACAATATCCACCAATAGCTTTTTCGGGACCAACAGTATTTTTTTCAGATTTAAATAAATGGCCAAAATTATCATTCAATATTGCCTGTCTTGTGGGTTTTCATGGTCTTTTTTGAAATCTTCAAGCAAGAGTTTAGGAGTGAAATTAGTAAAATTTGGGCCACTTAAAAAATACACATTTTTACATGCCCGTGCCTTCAATGAGCCAACCTAATGATGGAGAATGGAAATGTTATTCCGCCATGGGATCCCACCAATCTCAGTGCTACTTTGGCTCAATTCTACAAGTAGGAATACATCCAGCTCAAGCCCAATAGGTGCAAACCATGCCCAAGACTACCATTCATCTTTCTCATCTTTGTTTTCTAGGTCCAAAATTCTACTATGGAATAATCCACAGCAGTTTCTTCAGATGGAGAAAAAGACATCAGAAGCTAAGGAGAAATGGAAAACTTGACATTTACAGCATTTTCTTTCTTTTTGTCGCCCTTATATAACAGCATAAAACTGCAGCCAACTGCAAGCTATCAGCAAGCAGACAAATGATTCTTCTCCTACAGCAATAACTGGATATAATTTACACATTTCTCATTTACATCTCCCACACTTCTTGTCTCTTAAACTCTAACATTTCAATAGCTTCTCCCACCCTTTTCCGTAGCTCCCAAAAGATTGCAAAAGATCAATCAATCCAGGGCAAGAAAACATTTAGCAGTGGTTGGCAATGTTGTGTCCACAGAGGCCATTATACCCCAAACGTTTCTTTTAGTGCACCCCCAAGGCCTTACTCTGACTTTTGGCAAAGGCTGTTTTATTGTTGCCCATTCCACTTGGGGTAGCCATTTAATGAACAGGCATGTCTCCAATAGGAGCCATTTTGTTCTTCAATGTTGCTAAAATTCCAAATGTGTCCCTGATTCAAAAAGGTTGTTGACCTCTACATTAAGAGATCTGTCCATCTTCCATGTTTCCATCCCTCCAGGCCACCTACAGCAAACATTTACAATTAAAAATGCCTTCGTAATGGATGGCAAGAGAATCAACTAAGGAATCTGGAGTCAAACTGAAAAATATAGGATAGTTCTAAGAATTATATGGTATAAGAAGGAGATACTGATAGAATACTGATAGTCCTTGACTTATAACCATTGATTTAGTGACTGTTCAAAGTTATGGCACTGAAAAAAGTGACTTATGACCATTTTCCAATTTACAATCATTGCAGCATCTCCTTGGCCACATGATCAAAATTCAGATGCCTGGCAATTGGCATATATTTATCGTGGTTCCAGTGTCCCAGATTTATGTAAAGCAAATCCCTTAGAGAAGCAAACTCAATGGGAAGCCAGTTTTACTTAACAATTGTGGACAGAAAGATCGTAAAATGGGGCAAAATTCACTCAACAACTTCTTAGTAATGGAAATTTTGGGCTCAATTGTGATCATAAATTGAGGACTATCTGTATACATACACCTACATAAAGGCTTCAAGTCAATTCTTAAATGATAGCTCCTGAAGTTTTTTCCTGCCAGTTGAGAAGCAGAGCAAAGGCAGGAAACATTTAATTATCAATGCAGCCATTTTCTTCTCTCCATATCCCCTACTTTCCATCTTGCTGCCATGCAGTCTCTTAATGAGTTGGAAATATTAATTCTGGCAATACTCTAAATCACGGATGTCAAATTCAATTTCATTGAGGGCCGCATCAGGGTTGTGTTTGACCTCAGGGGGGCAGGAGAATGGCCAGAGGGCATGGCCAGCATGACATCACTTGTGTTGAGGGGGCGCCTGTAGTGGCCCAAGCACTCTGCCAGCGAAAACAGGCTCCTGAACTCCATTTTCAACTGGGACCTGTTGGCCTCCTCCAATCCTCTGCCAGTGAAAACAGAGCTCGGGAGGACCATGTGTGGTCCTCGCAACCTACATTTTTGCTGGCAGAGACACCACGGGCCAGTCCTTCACTATTTCCAGGGCAGCCCCGTGGGCCAGATATAAACACCCCACAGGCCAGATCCAGCCCCTGAGCCTTGAGTTTGACACCCCTGCTCTAAATACTAAGAAACAATGCGTGAGTACACTGATCATGCAAAGTCTCAGTTTATTACAAAATGATAACTGGATAATTCATGCAACAATTTGAACCATGTGTGAACCAGACCAAGACTTAAGAAAGTGAACTTAACATAACAATTTGGCCATGCAATACAGAAAGCCACTTGGACATAGATGTCTTACCATCTTTCTGTGCTAATGCTTTATCAATGAAATCAGCAGCTTCTTCAAAGTAATGGCTGAGGTTGAACTCCTGGGTGTCATTGGCCTTGATGCCATGGTAGATGATATTAGTTCCTTCATAAAATTCAGCATTTGTGTTCACATGCATGAAAGACTTGCCTTCCGCAGCATTGAGGACATGGGTTATACCCAGGCGTTGTAAACGCATGACATTTTTGGCTATGAACCTGTAAGAAAATTATATAAAGAGGAACATTCAGAGGGAAGAAATGATCCTGGAAATGCAAGAGAAACTTCATTAACTCAATGCATTAATGGCTCTGAAATCTAGAAAACAACAAATTTCTAGATTTCTAGAAATCTAGAAAACAACAAATGGAATTGGTAATAAAACATTACTGTCTACAATATTTCTGTTCAGGATATTCCATTCTATGCCTTCTGCATCCCAATTTTCTTATCAAGAGCCAACATTTCTTAGCTACAAATCACTTATATATGACAAGGATATTGTTTTAAGAAAAATGAGTTCTTCTCTTTTATAGCTTTTAGCAAAGTATTTTTAAAATATTTTTACAAACATCATGGTTAGTTCAAGCCCAATATTCATTAACAAATATCTGCTTCCATTTATTTCATGTGTGGCAGAAAAAAATAGTAACATTTTTTGATTCAGAAAAACACAACTGTAATCTTGGCCAGATGAGGTTTTGCGAAAGACTAAGGGCAAAATTAAAAATTCACTGAAATATATCATTTAATATTCTACTGCCTGAGTTTGCCCCTTGAATTTGTTTTTAAGAAGAAGGATACACAGCCTTAAAAGTTTGAAAATCCCTGGTTTAGGCTTGAAATATGTTATTTAAAAACAAAAAGCAAAAGCAAAAATGAAGTTCCCTGCTTGAACAATCCCCAAAATCCATTCTACTAAGACTTCCAGTAGTTTTAAGTGCAGCTCCAAGCTATATCTATATATCTCTATATATCTCTATCTCTTTATCTATCTAAAAGTCAGCCATTCTTGCTACTAGAGGAAATCTATAGCAATGGGCAAGGAGTGTCTACAGTAGCCAAAAAAACAAACAAACCCATGAGTCTGGTAGCACCTTTTCTGATTTATTAAAAGACATAACATTTTGCCCAGCTATAGTTTACTTTATCTGAAGTATCTGATGAAGTGAAAAATACACTGTTAACAGAGGCAACTCTAGACTTCCCATGATCCCGCTGTGTTAACTTCAGTTCAAACCATCTCCCTGGCTGTTAAATTTGTTTTGCTTTTTAATTATGTATATAGCAATAGCACTTAAGACTTATATACTGTTTCACAATGCTTTTACAGCCTTCTCTAAGTGGTTTACAGAGTCAGCATATTGCCCCCAACAATCTGGGTCCTGATTTTACCCACCTCGGAAGGATGGAAGGCTGAGTCAACCTTAAGCCTGGTTTGATTCGAACTGCTAAATTGCAGGCAGCCCTGCAATCAGCAGTAGTAGTATGCAGTACTGAATTCTAACCACTGCACCACTGCAGCTATGCTGTACTTTTAGCTTCTCTTCAGTGTAAGTGTATTTAAAAAGCAAGTTATATTGGCATTTTGTACCACCACAAAGTCTTAACATTAAAAAATGAGCTGAAATGAGGTATTTTTGATAAAGGTCCCCAATACTGCATGAAGAATACTGCCTCCCATGCAGGAAAGCTATTTAACACCTGATAAATGGCTGAATTAAGGAAAAGGAAGTGTTTTCTTCCTGTGAACAATTATTTCTTTTTTGTTATTTAAACCCTTATACAGTACTTATGCTTTTTTTACTTATTCTGTTTCTAAACACTACTTTACTGAATTACAACAGCATTCTTTACATTGGTTCATAATTTAGCAGACCTGACACAAAAGCAGAGAAAACGTAGGAGAAGAGTTGTCTTAGTCTACAGTAGCCAAAACAAAAAACCCATGAGTCTGGTAGCACCTTTTCTGATTTATTAAGACATAACATTTTGCCCAGCTATAATTTACTTTATCTGAAGTATCTAATGAAGTGAGCTGTAGCTCGTAAACATTTACACCTTTTAATAAAATTTGTTAGTTAGAAAAGGTACTGCCATAATCTTCCTGATTAAAAGAAACGTGGATCTGAAAGAAAGCAAACATTCAAGAAAAAGCTCAGTGTAGGTCAGAAATGGCAAACCGAATTCTCACAGCCAGCAGTAGCTTGCAGAAGAGCTTTGCATTTGCCCCTCAAAACTTGTCACTAATTATAATTTTAAACAGAAAATAATTAAGTACGAGGTGTCAACTGTACCAGTCATTTAATGTTAATTCAATTAAAAAGTACACTTAAAATAATCAGTTTATCTTGACCATGATTCCATTTACATTGTGAAGCATGGCCCTGATTTCTATAATTCATGTATAAATTCAATATTTATAGTTGTCCACTCATACATGACTCTAGACTTGCTATCTGAAGGTCATATACAGGGCATTAGACACCTGCTGTACAGTTAAAGAAGGCAGAAAATCTTCTCTACCATCACCATATGCAATATTAAGCGCAGCTCCTATCCATGAAAAAGTTGCTCACTCCTGCTACTGAATGAAATCTACAGTGATGCAAAAGAGAAGACTGCAGTGTTGACCTGAAGAACTAGGATTGATCTACTGACTATTCCTTCTCCAGTTGGATCTATAAGGTTAGGCTGTCCTCCCTTGCTCACTTAGTATTTACTTCACAGGTGGCACTCAATTCACAACACTTCAGTTAGTGATGGTTTGAAGTTACAAGGGCACCGAAAAAAATGACTTATGATCATTTTTCTCATGACTGTTGCAGCATCCCCATGGTCACACACCATCAAAATTCAGAAACTTGAGAACTGACTCATATTTTTGACAGTTGCAGTGTCCTGGGGTCATGTGATTTCCTTTTGTGACCTTCTGACAAGCAAAGTCAATGGGGAAGCCAGATTCACTTAACAACAAGGTTACTAACCACTGCAGTGATTCACTTAATAACTGTGGCAAAAAGGTCGTAAACTGGGGCAAAACTTATTTAACAACTGTCCTGTTTAGCAACAAATGTTGGGCTCAGTTGTAGTTGTATGTTGAGGACTACCTGTATATGGGAGACAGGTATGTTGACATTTGGTTCTTAAGTTCCAGGAGGAACTTATTCGCACAAAGTTTCCTCTCCCTCGCTTTTCAGAGACAACTTTTGACCAACTTTAATAGAGGTGAGGAGAGATTCCCCTTATATCCTAGAAATAGATGATGATTCCTGTTACTTTTTAAAAGTAAGAGTGGGAAGCAAGAAACAAACAGTTGTAACAATGGCACAACACACTGAATGTCAGGCTTTCTTCCATGTGAAAGAACTGTTATATTGACAAGAACCACTTGCTCTCAAAGTGATGAAGTGGCTTTTTGGCCAAGGGTAGCCTGGATGTCTCAGAGAAGTGAGGAAAAAATAAAACAAGCTGACAAGCTACCTTTCTCATGGCACATGCTACTCAAAATTTATTTTTATTTATTTATTGGGTCTTTATTAGCATCCTCTGATCAGTTTTCTCAAAGGCACATCAAAATTGTTACAAAATAAGAAAAAAACCTATAGTGGTACTTCAATATATACAGTACCATGGCAAAGATGCTCATGTTCCAGCTATATAGGGCTTTAGTGGCAAATACAACATGGTGGTGGAATTGAACTGGCTTATACCTCCTCATCCCATATGCTCATTCAACATCCATCCAGAGCAATGTCTGGGCCAGAGATTTGATAATTCCAAAATCACATCAAGTCACGATTTAGTTAGTTAGTTTATTAAACTTCTATACCGCCCTTCTCCCGAAGGACTCAGAGCAGTGTACAGCCATGTTAAAACACACATAAACTCACAAAATTTAAAAACAGTTTAAAACGAATATATAAAATTTGGCCCACAAAGTTAAAATTGACAAACAACCCAATTTAAAATTCATATTCTAAGCCAGTCCGGCCTGTTGGAACAAAAGGGTCTTAAGGGCACGGCGAAACGTACGAAGGTCGGGGATCATACAAACCTCCAGGGGCAGGTCATTCCAGAGGACAGGTGCCCCCACAGAGAAGGCTCTCCCCCTGGGTGTCGCCAGTCGGCATTGTTTGGCCGATGGCATCCTGAGGAGTCCCTCTCTGTGAGAGCGTATTGGCCGGTGGGAGGCTACCGGTGGCAGAAGGCGATCTTGTACATACCCAGGTCCTAAGCCATGGAGCGCTTTAAAGGTGGTAACCAACACCTTGAATCGCACCCGGAAGACCACTGGGAGCCAGTGCAGCTCGCGCAGGAGAGGTGTTACTTGGGTGCACTGTGTCGCACCCATAATTATCTGCGCGGCCGCATTCTGGACCAGTTGGAGCCTCCGGGTGCTCTTCAAGGGGAGCCCCATGTAGAATAGAATAGAATAGAAAGATTTACTTTCTATTAACTATTTAAGAGACCAAGCAACCTACCTACGAATGCTAAAATTTAGGATGATTAGGAACTCATGAGAAGGAGAATATGACAGATGCTTCTGCCTGCTGCTTTTCCTCAAGGGAAGATGTAGATTCTTGCCTGCTCTAAATATGGAGTTTTGCTTAGCAAAGCTTGTCAACAGCAGGTGTTGATGTGATTTCTGCCCAGTGCAGTGAGTTGTGTCAGTGTGTTTAGGTAATGCTTTTTGTGCTTTCAATCTTTGTACACTACTGAGAGTCACCTATGTGAGATGGGTGGCCATATAAATCATATAAATTAAGTGAATTATTTACTGTGCCCCTCAAATCAATGCTATTTTCTGCAGAAGACTACAGCAAAAATAAGATTTGACTCTCACAAATTAAAATAAAAAATATTTTGATTTGACTGGTTAGAGAATGACCATTTTGCAGGGAGCAAGAAATTAACAAGATTATTGAAATGACCAGAATTGAATGTTTAGAAAATAAATATATCTGTAATAATATATACCAGTTAACAAGACTGAAGCAAAGCATTCTAAAACAGACTGGATAAAATCTAGTTAACTATACACGTGATAATAACCGGCTGAGACTGATGGAAACTAGAGTGCAACACAATCTGGACAGCTACCTCTACACTGAAAATAACTTCATAAAAATAACTCATATCCTTCCCTATATCTGTTCTCTGTCCCAAGCACAGCCAACTAAAGTGTTGGTGACAAAGCAATGTTTTTACTTTTTCT